TCAAGGTTCTTTCATATTACCTACTCATCATGCCATTAGAGTTTTCGCTAGACAGGAAACTGCCGGATTTAGTGAGCCTTGCACACATCTTCCACTCATTCCTGTATACAGTACTTTCATCAATCTCCGGCACGCGCTTGTTGTCGAATCAGCAGATTTCAAGCAAGGGTTGTTAGAAGCAGCTCCCCACTCACCTCCTCGTTCATGTCACATTCTCTTATGTGCAGGTTTCAGTTGCTTATAAAATCACAGGCAACTGGACAGTTTGAATCACATTTCAGCCCTATTCTATTTCATATCATTCGTTGCGCTACATACGTTTTATGAGTGAAATCAGCATCTTGCCAGGCATATTAGTCGGATAAAGCATTCCACTCATTGGCTGGTAGGCGAGGGAAATGCTTATACCTAATTCAAATGACCATTTTACAGTCTTGTGCTAACCGCAAAAAGCACGTAGCTCAATCGTCAGAGCTTTTAATAGACCATCCTCTGACCTGTCCTGCACTGCCTCTCGAAGAAGTGATGCTTCTAGCGTGCCTCCATGTCCCTGAAGAGAAGCCGCCCAAACAAAATATTGCTCAGACCTCACTCTAGATGCTGGTAAACGTAACTGGGTGGAGAAGAGCCTAACACAATGAAGTCGCCTTGGTAATGCAAATCCATGCTTTACATCATGGTTCACTACCTCATTCGTGCAAATACTGTCCAAAACACATATTCATGCCATAACAGAATACGTACATCCCACTTACACCGCCCCCAGCCTTACACGCGGCCCACGATCCGACCCCACAATCCAAGGCTGTGCTCTCTTTCTCATCGTGTCAGAGCCAGAGGATGATTTGCAGGTAAGCATTGATACAGTCGTGACATCAGTTTCAGCTTGTCACTCATACCCCTGCCTTGCTCGGTGACAGCCGACTCTTCCTTTGCGTTTGAGGATCCTCGCAAGGCAGATTTCGAGGTTTTGCTGACGCGGTCCGGACCGGAGAAAAAGAAGCTTATTAACTAAGGTACCTTACCTTACACTAAAATAAACGCGAACAGGTTTCCACCTTGCCCGAAAAGGCAGGAAGCTCGACATGCGAAATTGAGGTGAAAAATGCTGAAAGTGATGCGGTTATTCTTCAGATTATTGTTACGTATTGCCCGGTAGGTTATGGAGGTATGTACGAGTTTCTCATCAAGACATTATTACGTATGTATGCCTTTTGTGAGATAGTATTATTTTCGAAACTTTTGGTGGCACGGTTCTTCTCGATTTATCTACTCCTACTTTCACATGCTTTGTGGTTGAGATAATCGAAACGTTTTACCACTGGAATATTGCTTTTTCTTTCAATCAACTAAAACAATGCTCCTAAGTCCGTCAAGAGTAGGGATTCTATACGCCGAGCGCCATCAAATGCAAACTTGTGTTGGAAGAACTAAGCAAACTCCTTCTAAAGTTGAAAACACAATTTCCCAGTGGTATCATATCCAAATAACCAAGAATTACAATACTCAACCCAAGCGCTTCCGGACATTTCAAACAAATGAGACAAGGTATTTCGTACAAACTCGTCAAATGTCACGAGGGGTTATCCGTCTAATGTTGGTGATCGCTGTGACAATCCTAGATGACTTCGACGCGATCGTAGCCAGTGGGCTTTAGTGCAGGCTTGGGTGGCGCACGATCCTTGTACTCGCTGACGAATGGGTTTGGATCCTCTGTTTGGTTGAGGTTACCAAGTGTGTGGTTGACTCCTCGGTGAGTGGCCTCATCAGCCCTGATGTAGAGGATCAAGTCCTTCATCGTACGGTGCTCCTTTGGCATCTTCCAGTACTAAAGAAGCATCAATATTGGATATCTCAGAGTATTGATAAGTACTCACCTGGACGGCAATGTCAGGGATCTCGAACTTGGGGTCGCTCCACTTAGGTAAGTTGCCATCCTCTATCTCCTTGATACAACGAGTATAGGTGTGGACAGCCTCTTCCTCAAGGTACCCGACAAACCTGTGGACAATTTTGGGCGAGATGAGATAAGACACAAACAGACTGTTGAAGAAGACGCCCTGAGCACCGATGATCATCGTCTTCATGAACCAACCAGGCTCACACATCTTCATAAAAGTCAAAAGATGCATCCGCTCGTTGTAGCTCTCCTCGAGGAGTGTTTCGATCCAACCGTTATCTCGTTTCATGCGTCGAAGACTGCCGAGATGTCGCAGCATGCCCCCAACCATGCCTGGAACTCCCGCCACGCTCTCGAGAAAGATGAATCGAATCAACTTTTTTTCGTCAGTCTATGGTTTCGAGATATGTTGCACAGATGGGATATGACTTACCCATTGAGCCTCGGTGAGTGGCTTCTGAGCCTCGATGGCTGTAGTCGGCTTGGTCTTGTCAGACTTCTGATCACGGTCCATACCTGTGGCCTTGTCCATGCAATATCTGGCAAAGCGGACAATCTTCCAGGCTGTATAGTCACCGACTGTCTTGGGAGGTCGGTGAGCGGGTTCGACCGCCAGCATTTCATCGTATGTGTAACCTTCGTGTGGCCAGGCTGGCTTGGTCGTCTGGATATGTGGCGTCTCCTTGACTGGAAAGAAGTCACGAAGTTGGTTCGTCGGTGTCGATGAGAAGAGTCGATGTTGCTGGGAAGCGGCACAACCGGCTCGAAGAGTTATGGGAGCTCTTGCCAGAGATGAGGAAGAAGATATGGTTCGAGCAAAGCCAAGTGCAGCAGCTTTTGCCGCCTGTCGTGAAGCTTGGCTGTGCTGAAGTTGGATTGACAACATTGGGATGAGCAAGACTTTTGATGTCTTCAGTATAAAGTATGTTTATTGAAGGTATCTGCCTCGTCTTATCAATGATCGAGCTGATTGTTTGATAGGAAGATACTATGATAAAGCTTCTGCCTGAGGAGGTCGAGCTGGGCCTTTATATGTATTCCAGAGATAAGCCTACAGAGAGGCGTGTCTGCATGTCAGACGCCATCCCCATCGTACCCCCCCGGGTCCAATCGAGAGCGAGTAAATTCTAGTCTCTGTATGAGCAAAATATCTAAGTGCCGTGTTAATTCGGCGTGAAATTGCTGACAAGAGACGTTACCAAGACAAAGTTCACGAAGACAGACCGGGACAAATACTCAAGGTGAGCGGCGTCTGCGGCACACCGTGGCCGCCGCTAACTAAAACCGGGGCCAACTGTCTAAGTCTAACCCAGCCAAGCTGTTCAGACGAGTAGTCCTTGTCAATTACGATGGTCCGCAGGGGCCCAAGCAATCGGGACAGGCAGTGGAAACGCTAGAAAGAGCTTCCCGAAGACCTAAATCGGGAACATGACAAAGATCCGTCATAGGGTGCGGCTCAAAAGTTTCGCTGCCACGTGAGTGAGGTTCATCGGGAGGACTCGGATGTCGACTACTTACACAGCACTCGCTGCAGAAATCAGGAATTCTGGCTTAGGAATCACTCACGATCTGACATCAACGAAGAGGCTGATGGCACGTGCTATAAACGGACCTATTATTTTGACTACTGTCAAAACTTGCTCACTAAATTAGGAGCATTTTTTAAACACCGGTCTGATGCGGATACAGCAGCTGATATCGGGATTTCTCGATACCAACACTGCACAGTTGACATTATCCCTTGGCCTTTTAAAACTCAAGGGGGATTTTTCGGGACACTGATACGTATTCATTGGGTGAATCAATGGGCTTTGATGGTCAGCTGCTTGTGTGAATCCTCGTATAATCGGAGATGCTGGAGATGTTGACTTGAATCGATATATCGTGGTCTAATCCCAGCGATACAAGTATTGAACTTGACAACTTCTCCCTTGGTAAGAATGACAAAGCTTGACATGTCATGTGAAGAAACAATACCTGGTGTGGACAATTGATGAATCGTTCATATTGAACTTGTCTGCGATGACCGACCGCATAACATCCAGAAGGTATATGAAACAGAGAATTGGTTGCCTCTATCTAAGAGTGTAGAGACCATATAGAAAATGTGTAGCCCGGGGGTAATTACGACATATCTCTCATCATCATATATTTGTTGGGCCCAATTTATGGAAAGCATATTGCATAAAAGTAAGGGAGCCATACTACCACAAAAAGAACTACGCATGATGGGTGTTGGTGCTACCGGGTAGGCCATGCTAAAATGCTTGCCGGAACATTTACACCTACCTCTGCGATGGTATTCAACGTAAAATGAAGGCCAATCATCGGTGATTCATATTTCTAAGGTTTCGAGCGCTAGGCGACGGGACTGGCATTGGAGTGCTGGGGAAAAAAAAGAAAGAAAAAAACAGCGTGGTTTCAGAGTTGGCACTTAGATAGCCTCACGGACTGGTTAAATAAGGTAGCCAGAGCATTCACATTTCACGGTATCAAAACAGTAACAAATAAGAAGATAGCGCAGATAGACATAATTAGACATTACGCCGTAATTTAGAAGGATATATTCTTAAAGTCTAATTTGACCATTATGAAATTGGCCGTGGATATCATGACTGACGTCAAGGTTTTTAAATACTAGGAAAAGGTGCCCCAAAAAAAATCCAGCTAAAACTTTCACGAAAAAAAAAAAGCCCCTCCTTCAGATCGACAACCCCTCCATCCCACTTGTCCTGGTTGGGAGCAAAGGCTTTCTGCCTGAAGAGAAAATTACAACACTGTAGGTTTTATAAATGCGTTTAAAGTTCCTATTAGACTGAAAAGTTTCTCGTGGTATCTATATATAGTAGAGAAACAATATTGATTTAAATCCAGAGCATACGAGTGTTTTCCGTTTACGCTCCCTTCCTTTGTTCCTTGTTTTCAAGATCCGTCTTCGACCCGTTTTGTACCGCAGCATCAAACACCCACCCACACTCACTCGCACAACTCACACAAAACTTACCCTTCGCACATCCTCGCACACCAGAAACCCACCTGCAACTTCAACTCTGTCAACCACCAAACGCGATCCTATACTATCTTGTCAGAAACAGACACCATGCCTCCTAAGAAGTGGGGTACGTATTAACACCTTCTAAACAACCAGTCTGGAACCCATACACAGACTACCGTGAAGTCTCGAGCGAAATGGACATTTGCGGGGTTGTTGGGTTTGATGCTTGCACGACAAGCAACGTCATTGAAGAACATAGCGGCTAACAAGCGCATCCAGACGATGAAGAGAGCGACGACAGCAGCTCCTCCGGCTCTCCTGTTGTCGGTGCCGGTGCTGCTGCCGCTTCTCGACGCAAGTTTGACGACGAAGAGGACGATGGCGATGTAAGTCTTCTGCCCCCGCCAGGTGTTGTCGACTCTCGAATCCCTGACACCTTTCTCCCTATCAACAGGTTCTAGATTCATGGGACGCCGATGACGACTCTGAGGCCGAGCGAGAGAAAGAGCGCAAGGCTGCCGAGGCCAAGCAGAAGGCTGCCGCTGCCGCTGCCGCGGCCAAGAAGCCAAAAGGCCAGCGAATTGCTGAGCACCAGGCCGAGCGTGCCCAGCAGAAAGCCGGTGCCGCCAATGTCGAGGAATATGAAGAGACCGAGGCCGAGAAGCGTGAGCGACTCCGACGCACTGAGCAGGAAGCCGATCTCGCCCACGCCGCCGATATGTTTGGAGATATTGGTATCAGCGCCGGTCGTGCTAAGTCCCGTCCTGCTGCTGTCGTCGTCGACTCCAACGACCCAACCAAGACTATCGACATTTCCAAGCTGCCTCTCTTCCAGCCCAAGACTAAGGCTCAGTTCGAGACTCTACGCACCACTCTTACTCCCATTATCTCGGCCAACTCAAAGAACGCCCACTACAGCCTGTTCCTCCAGGATTTCACAAAGGCTCTTGCTAAGGATATGCCCAGCGAACAGATCAAGAAGCTCGCCAGTACTATGACTGCTCTGGGTAACGAGAAGATGCGAGAGGAGAAGGCTGCTGATAAAGGAGGCAAGAAGACAAAGGCTGCCAAGACGAAAACGTCGCTGGTTACTGGTCGTGCTAACGCCGCCGACACCACCACCTACGACGATGCTGATGATTTCGGAGAGTGAGTGTCCCCCCCGGCAGGCTACTGAGATAGTGTACTGACCCTCTCCAGTGATGACTTTATGTGAAGCGTTGTTAAACAATACAGAAAGGGTAGCTTTCATGCAGGCGCTGACCCGCTGCTTCCCGTTTTAACTTTATACCTATCTGCCCCCTATCCATCGAGTCGACTCTTCGCCAAGCTGGGCGAACTCGTGACATGCCGTTGATGCAAACGCCACTTTGTGGTTTCACGATATTGCCATGAAACCCTCTTGGGTGCTCGAACATGACAAGGGCAGCAGAGCGAGGGTGGTGGATCAGAAAGAAGTGTGCCTTAGACTCAAAAGGTGGTGAATACACGGAAGAGTGGAGGGCGCCAAGGATCATATATAGGAACGATGCCGGACCAGCTTCACAGCAGCATATTTCGTGCTCTCAGCATACTCTTCACACGGGCTTGGTATATGGAATTGCTTTTGACGACCAGACGCCATGGGAATCTGATGCATATGTTGATTAGTGTCTCTTTTCGCAACTCGTTAGATAAAAACTAGAGGGCGCTTTACATTGCATTGGAAGAAATGGAACACTGTTGGGTCTCGTCTGTATAGCTCATAGATCATGTTCATTTGTATACCGGAGGCTACTTATGCTGTTTCGTGTGATGAACGCTGCCACTATGGCAAGGGTATCTCATCAGTTACCGCCCATCATGTTGCTCCTATAAGCGATTAAGGAGTAGAGTAAGATCATGGGCGAGTTCCTCATCGTTCATATGTAAAATCCCACCAACGCCAGTCACAGTCAGCCGTATCATAAAATTCCAATCTTGAACGCCTTTGTCGCCTTTCCTTTACACAAGCCACTGCTCTTACACAACGCCGATAAAATATACAAAGCCGCACATGTATCGCCATTCGACCCGCATGCTCCGATTATACTCGAACAGAGCAGGAGCCCGTGGGAGGGAAATCACACCACATTGCCCGCCATCCCCATAAAGAGGGCATGGACCGCAAGCGACAAGGTCCAGAATCCAACCTTTTTGAACCGTCGAACACGGCTCTGCTGGTTTTCGACGTCATTCGCAAATGCATCATATGTCTCCGCTGACATATCGTTCATTAGACCACAGTCAAAGATCGACCAGCTGCCATCGAAATCGCTGGCTCGTTTCACGATACGGCAATTGATTGGTATATATGTCTTCTTGGCGTTGATGTAAGCAACGATAGGGCGGACCAGGGCCTGGTTGACGTAAGACATGTCCTTGGTGAAAAGAGGTACTGCGGCTTTGACGTCGTTCATGGAGATCCGGAGGTCCATGATAAGGTAGCGACGCTCATCCTCACTTGTCTGTGGATCGGCAGCTGGCTTTTCGCCGTGAATATCTCCAGCTGAGTCTGAAAGGTGCCCTGATGTAAGAAGGGCAGGGCCTTGCTCTTGGATATTGCGCATGAAGCGATGCCTGTTTGTGTCGACGATTTCTTCAAGCTGGTCGTAGAAGTCGGCCATGACCTTCGTGATGCTCTCATCGGTGTCAGCGGGAAACATGACATCAGCAACAATATCAACATTCCCTTCGTATATCCAGCCAAAAGGCCCCTCAACACCACGGTTGAGATGGTCTATCTTCAACCCATCAATTCGGAGCCGACTGAACTTTTTCCACGCCTTAGGATCACCAAAACCGACCGAAGCTTCTGGGTCACCATTGCCACTAGGTACCACGCCGTGGACTTGTCGGGGATGGATCGTAAACAGAGAACCATCGTAAGACCCTGACATGTGGTTGGCTGAAAGGAAATCGTAGAAGAGCCACTGCTTGCGAAGCTGGGGCAGTTCGCAAGAGAAGATGCTGATAGAGAATGGTCGGAACCCGCCCGGTTGATGGACGGTGAGTAATAGGTCCTCCATCTTGAACTTTTCGATCTCAAAATCTCCTGGTTGGTGCTTATGACGATATGACAGAGGATCGACCTCCTCGGCTGGCCATGTCACTGAAGTTCGGTCAATGACACCGCGAACACCCTTGATCTCAACATCTTTCAACAATCCCTTGCCATTCCACCAGTTCAAGAATGACAACGTGACGTTGACAGTTGAAAGAGTAACATCAAATTGAGTGTAGTTTCCATCGTCCTCCGTCTCTGATGTTCCCACGAGATCTGCTTTGCGGCCAGCAGCAGCTTCGGCGGCAGCATCCGATGAGCCTTTGCTTACGGATGAGACGTTACCTTGGCCAGGTCGTCGAGACACAAAAACGTTGCGGAAAGAGATAACATTATCGCGCCACTTGGGAACAATAGCAGACTCGAAAACAACGGTAACGCCAGCAGACTGTGTCAAATAGTCACCTACCCATTGCGCGAGCGTTTCTGGTGTATGTTAGCATGCAGATCCCTCGTGCGAAACACTCTACCATACCTTGGGCAACAACAGTGTTGATTGACAAAATGATCAGAGAGAAGAAGGTGGTTGTTCCGACGATAATCCAAGCGAGGTGACCGAAAAGAAACCAGGAAACAAAAGCACCCCATTCGTCAATATTCCACGGTCTCATACTCCTAATCGACACCCATTTTAAACGAACCTTGAGTCGCTGCCAAAAGCCGTTGGCGGCCTCGAGCAGTTCCTCTTTGGTGGGCCGATGCGGCATTCTCGGCAGGTGTAGATAGGACATGTAAGAGACTGGCTCGGAATCCGCCCCTGTAGGGTCTTGTTTCCCGGGCTGATTGGAACCATCTTTGTTTGTTTCGTTTAATGTCGAAGTTTTGACCCTTTTCAGATCTTCTGTTGTTTTAGCTGGTGTGGGGGAAACATCCGCGATATCCTTGCCGCAAGAGCATTTTGACCCATTACCCTTACTGTTACCACTACCACTGTATAATCGTTGCTGTTGCCATGGCTTCGATGACCAATATGACCATTGGGATATTTGATGAATTGAAGCGTGAGTCGTAAGAGGAATTATTCGCTCGGGCACAGATCTTCGAGGCTGAATTGTATGGCGCAATGAAAAGGCTGGTGTGACAGGCACCGCATTGTCTGAGATTGGATTAAAAGTCTGACATTTTCGGTGTGAATGATTAAATCGAGTATTTGAGGGCACGACTGTCGCCGGTAAGAATGGCCATCTCCAACCAATTTCTGCAAGAGGACGTATGGTAATCGAAGAGAATGTTGCTGGAGAAGAATTGAAGCAGATCCCAAAGCAACGCCCGATCATAGAAGAGGGGATACCCTTAGCCATCATTCCAGCATCATGGTGCCTGACTGAAAAACAATGCGACACTCAGAACGTGAGTAGGGCGAAATGAGAGCCAAACGAACTTTGCTGTTGTAGTGTCTAGGATTGAAGCAAGATTACGGAGGAAAAGTTGGTCGGAGTTAATGAACAACAGATTCCGTCACTGCAAATGCTAACTAACCAAAGCTGCACTTCCATGGTTCTGGTTGGAAAAGTCACTCCATGACGCGCCTGGCTGTTAAAGGCAGCGAACCAATCGATAAGCTACGATAAGCCACACAAATTTTTGATCAGTTTGCTCGAAAGTCACCAACGCCCCCACCAAACCAACCTCTGATACCCTTAGATGTGTGTGAATTTGACTCCGACGAATTTTCTGCGACCGAGTATTGACATATACTTGCCTCGAGACCAGTCTTGAAACCCCGGTGCAATAAATTATTGCAAGACAAAGCTACTTGTTCATTATTCAGAATGTCTGCGCCGACCGCTTTGAAGAAGGCAGAGGATGCCCCGCCCGCCGTGGACGTTGCGCTCCCAGTCGAAGGTATGAAAAAAATAAAATATCTGAATAAGAGGATCACCGAGACAATATCTGATTGTGATTCAGACAACGACGATGAATTTCTTTTAGATGCGCCTGACGCTCTTCCTACGGATGCGAATGTTCTTGTGCCTGTGGAGGAGAGTAATGAGAATGGAATGGCTATCGATGAGGAAGGACGACCTCGATTTGCGCCTGCCAGAGATATCGTGAGACTCCTGCACCATCATGCCGAGTTTCAATGACTCTAATAATGTTGATAGGACCCTGTTACCCGCGTGGAAACTCGCAAGATCCCTATTCCTCCTCACCGAATGACACCTTTAAAACAGTCATGGACTTCCATCTACCCTCCTCTGGTCGAGCACCTCAAGCTACAATGTCGAATGAACATCAAGCGAAAGACAGTCGAGCTGCGATCATCGAAGCACACCACTGATACTGGAGCACTGCAAAAAGGAGAAGACTTCGTTAAGGCCTTCACTCTCGGGTTCGACGTGGACGATGCCATCGCGCTGCTGCGACTCGACGACCTCTACATCCAAACTTTTGAAATCAAGGATGTGCGAACAATGCACGGCGACAGCCAGGCCCGTGCTATTGGACGAATTGCTGGAAAGGATGGAAAGACCAAGTTTGCTATCGAGAACGCCAGTAGAACCCGAATCGTGCTTGCTGATTCAAAGATTCACATCCTGGGTGGATTCAAGAACATCCACCTTGCCCGGGAGTCGGTTGTGAGCCTGATTCTCGGTAAGCCGCCTGGCAAGGTATACGGCAACCTCCGAACGGTCGCGGCACGAATGAAGGAGCGCTTCTAAATGACGGAAGCTGACGATAGACTTGGGTTGCTACATACGGCGTTACGGGTGGGCAGCATTATGATCTTGAATTATGTGAACAAGGATTAGTCAGTCAAAAATGGGAGGCTGTCATAGCATGTCGATAACGATAAACATTGAGATGAATCGATTTGTCGCTTCATGGATACCCACCAATACCCACGGGCCAACAACGCATGATTGTTTCGGGCTAATTGTAGATACTGGCAGTTGTAGTTGCAGTCAGATCATGTTTGATACACGGCGTTAATATCGCGCCCTCCAGTATCAAACCATGTCTTCGGCCTTACAAGCATTCAGACGTCAACTTCCCACCCAGTTGCGAGGGGGGTGGGATGGCTCGGGTCTCTTGTTGGCTGTAGATTCTCATGAGATGCTGATAGGCACGGACTCAGATCACTCCATTTGCATCCATGTTTATCAGAACACATCAACTATCATCGACCGACTCTGGAGCCTTGACCGACAATTGAGCGAAGCACAACGCAATTCTAAGAGTGTCTTGTGGGAATAACGTATGCCCGATTGAAGCAGGAACATGGTTAAGCCTGCAAGCAAGGCAATGCAATAGCCGCTACTCAATCACACTAATAAATGGCCTTGCCGCCATACACTATGTTCAACATGCAGCCTTCCGGGACTGCGGAGGCTCGTCTCGTTTCTCGTTGCACCTGGTCAACTTGGCTTCCGATCAGGACGGGGATCGTCCAACCGGAAGACGTCCTCGAGCCGGCACGGCGAGTCTGGGGCAGCGATGCGGCGGACGACGGGCAAGATGAGCCCGTGGTGCCGGGAATCAACGGGAGCGAAACGTGAGCCTGCACCGAGTTGTATGTAATGGACGGCTGTACGTGGAGATGATGCTATGCACAGCAACATTAGAAAGTAACGAATGTGTGTGGAGGCGCAAAACGGTGGTGTTCATGGTGGGCTGTGCTCGTCATCACACTGATTATGATTTTCTCCTGTTTTATCATCCTCTCCTCTCCTCTCGGTCTCGGTGCGGCGCTGCGTCGGCGGGCGTGAAATATAGCATGCTAAGGCGGCAAAATTCCATATTGCTAGTAATCACCCAATGCTAACGTCGATCTATCAAGGGGAGAAGTGTTGTTTGACATCCTTTGATGACCCATGTAACTCACTGGGACCCTGGCGTGTTCTCTTGTCGGTCATTTACAGTCAATGCCAATGTCAATGGATCTGAAGGTGAGCGACGAACCATTGAGGTGGCTTCTGGTGATGTGGGATGGTTGGATCTAGGCGATTGTAAAGCTTCGTAGAGTGGGACCTGAGGCCAGTCCAGGGGAGAATGGACCCCTCCTCTGGTTGAATTGGCCGGGGTGAGATTTGTGAGATCATTTTCACCCCTCCAAGGTCAATCGGACCCCACCTCGCAGGTAATTTTTGGTGAGAGAGACATGGAAGATCGCGCAGACAGACAAGACGGGAGATGGGAGACTACGTACATCCCATCATACCTTTCTCGTGTCGACCGTTGACTGGGCTGGGCTTCCCATTTGAGGAGGGAGCTTTGACTTTTGGCTTTTAATGGATCGACAGATTTCCTCTGGTTTCCAGAAACCATTCATAAACACCTTGTGCTCCCCTCCTCTGGCCATCTTTTTTCCTCTCTCTTTCTTCTCATCTTCATTGCATATCCTCTTACCATCATCCCCTCTTGCCATCTAGACCGGTTCTGCTGGCTCCAATTGCATCTCATACATAAACACTTTACCTAAGGTGAGCTTCAATCGAGATAAAATAGTCACAGCTATTATCAATGCCCATACCCATATCCCTGCCCCTCACCATACTCTCAGCAATAGCAACAGCGCACCAGCAAAGCAGAGCGACCTGATCTTAGCTCTTTGGGCTGGTCCCCCTCCCCCTCCAAACCCCTCCTCCACCTTCTGTCACCCCTCCCTCACCGATTGGAATAATCCCCCCACCAAAAAAAATGCTATGAGCTGGTTTGATTTGGCTTGGTTTGGTATGGTTGTGATGAGCAACAAACCACTCTCCGTTGCTGGGCTGGGATGGGCTGGGCAACGTTGAGGCATATTTCACCCACTCATTGAGTGACTTTCCCTGGCACTGGCTGGCACTGGTATTGTCCAATTGCCTGGCTCTCTCAGCTCTATCATGGCACTGCCCGTTGGAGCGCCGGCCGTTCCATCGGTCGAACCTTCCACTCCCAATCAGCTATATAATTTCTTCCACCTCTTCATCTCCTCTCTCCCCTCTTCTTCCTCTTCCTCTTCATCCTTCACCTTTTTACACTAAAGGCAAACCAACTGATCCAACAACCCTTAGAAAACATATTACCCGTCAACATGGCTGTCAAGAAGGTCTTCGCCCGCTCCGTCTACGACTCCCGTGGAAACCCCACCGTCGAGGTTGATGTCGTCACCGAGACTGGCCTCCACCGTGCCATCGTTCCCTCCGGTGCATCTACCGGTTCGTCCCGACCTCCCTCGGCTACTATCCGTATGCACTCGCTAAGTTCATGATAATTCAGGTCAGCACGAGGCTTGCGAGCTCCGAGATGGCGACAAGTCCAAGTGGGGTGGCAAGGGTGTCACCAAGGCCGTCGAGAACGTGAACACCGTCATTGCTCCCGCTCTGATCGAGAAGAACCTCGATGTCAAGGACCAGTCCGCTGTCGATGCTTTCCTTAACGAGCTCGATGGTACTCCCAACAAGACCAAGCTCGGTGCCAACGCTATTCTCGGCGTATCCCTGGCCGTTGCCAAGGCTGGTGCTGCTGAGAAGGTGAGCTTCAAACGTGTGGCTTTCATGCTGTGAATACCTCAGCTAACCACTCACTGCAGGGCGTTCCTCTGTACGCTCACGTCTCCGACCTCGCCGGAACCAAGAAGCCTTATGTCCTCCCCGTTCCCTTCATGAACGTCCTCAACGGTGGCTCCCACGCTGGTGGCCGTCTCGCCTTCCAAGAGTTCATGATCGTCCCTACGTACGTATCTCGATACGCTCGTCTCAAGCTTCTTCCTTTCTAACACGGTTATAGCGAGGCTCCCACTTTCACCGAGGCCATGCGCCAGGGTGCTGAAGTCTACCAGGCCCTCAAGGGTCTGGCCAAGAAGCGATATGGCCAGTCCGCCGGCAACGTCGGTGATGAGGGTGGTGTTGCTCCTGATATCCAGACTGCCGAGGAGGCCCTTGAGCTCATCACCGATGCCATTGAGCAGGTTGGCTACACCGGCAAGATCAAGATCGCTATGGATGTTGCCTCCAGCGAGTTCTACAAGGTTGATGAGAAGAAATACGATCTTGACTTCAAGAACCCCGAGTCTGACCCCACCAAGTGGATCACATACGAGGAGCTCGCCAACCTCTACTCCGAGCTCTGCAAGAAGTACCCTATCGTCTCCATCGAGGATCCCTTCGCTGAGGACGACTGGGAGGCCTGGAGCTACTTCTCCAAGACCCAGGACATCCAGATTGTCGGTGATGACCTGACTGTGACCAACCCTCTGCGAATCAAGAAGGCCATCGAGCTCAAGTCTTGCAACGCCCTCCTCCTCAAGGTCAACCAGATTGGTACTCTGACCGAGTCCATCCAGGCTGCCAAGGACTCCTACGCTGATGGCTGGGGTGTCATGGTCTCTCACCGTTCCGGCGAGACTGAGGATGTCACCATTGCTGACATTGCCGTTGGTCTCCGTGCTGGTGAGATCAAGACCGGTGCCCCTGCCCGATCTGAGCGTCTCGCCAAGCTCAACCAGATTCTCCGAATTGAGGAGGAGCTTGGTGACCAGGCTATTTACCCTGGTGCTAACTTCCGCAAGTCCGTTAACCTGTAAATGGGGATAGATTGATACGTGGAACAAAAGCCTTGTGATGATAATGATGCCTTTGGGTCTTCAGCCGGGAGCGCGTGAGGCCATATACCAGAACGGCAAACTGAAAGTAATAGAGGCAAAAATAGTAAAAGCAAACTGATCAATTAATGAACCTTTGATTGAAGTTCAACAAACTTATTCCCCCCCGTGCAAAGACCTTTGTGCATGTCCTGGAGTCGAGAAATGGCTTTATGTTTTCTGATGACAAACCTCGACTGTATATCTGGCGTAATCTGTGAGCAAAGCCAGGAATTAGCTACATAAAGTTAGAATATTATATCTCAGCAGTTCACCGTTTTCCTTAAGTTCTACGGATATTGTTAACTGATATGGGACCTTCTGTGGCTTGTGTGTGAAGTTGGCCACATGTGGCTGTTTCTACAGCAACAAGCATATTGGCGCATTATCAACAATAATATGCGACCATCCCACTTAAATGATTAGCACTTTAACAACAACCACACCCCCACTGCCCTCGAGAGTGTTTTACACGAAGCAAACGCCTCTCCAGAGGAGACACTAACTCATCATGTCAGCCCCAGGAGATCTGATCGACTTCGACTTGATCGAAGGACAAAAAGAAAACATCCAATCTTTACCCGGTGGTCGTTCAGCTAAGAAGCTAGCTGAGCTCTACTCCCCATCACCACTTCAGAAACTGTCTACACCGACACCTTCGGATACGCGCAATGTTAACGACTGCATTCGCGCCGAATTTGAACAAGAGGTCGAAAACATCGCTGAGTCAGATGATCCTCTTGACGTTTTTGAACGTTACGTTCGATGGACGCTAGACGCCTATCCCTCGGCGCAAGCAACACCACAATCACAACTGCACACCCTCCTCGAGCGTGCAACCAAAACCTTCATTGGCTCAGCGCAATACAAAAACGACCCTCGATATCTCAAACTCTGGGTTCACTATATCCACTTCTTCTCCGATACCCCCCGCGAGACATATATGTTTTTGTCGCGACATGGAATAGGAGAGTCGCTCGCATTATTCTATGAGGAATACGCTGCTTGGCTTGAGGGGGCGAATAGATGGGCACAAGCCGAAGAAGTGTATAAGTTGGGTATTGGCCGTGAGGCTCGACCTGTTCAGCGACTTATTCGCAAGTTCAAGGAGTTTGAGCAGCGTGTCGCCCAACAGCCAGATATCATGAACGAACCCTCATCCCCAGCATTACCCACCATGCGGCCGGCTCTTGCTGCTAAGGTTGATCCTTTTGCTGCTGCGCGAGCAGCAGATCCTCAGGCTTCAAGACCTTCAAGTGGTGGAGCTGGCAAACCCTCCAAGTCCAAGTTGGCAATCTTCTCTGACGCTGACGCCCAACCCTCTGCCATGTCATCAATGAGTGCGGGCTCAAAAGGTTGGGACACTATCGGTTCATTGGCAGACCGAAGGAAAGAGAATGCGGTGGAGGCCAAACCCTGGGTGGGTGAGACACTGCCAGCTGGTGGCAAGAAGAGCACGGCTCCTAAGATGTCGGTGTTCAGGGATCCGGTAAGTTGAAATTCTTCCTCCCGACTTGCCCACATGTTGATGATCATAGGACTAATGTATGGTTATGATTTGTTATGGTTCAATAGTCTCTTTCGCAAATACAGAATATCGTTGTTGTTCCATCGAAGCATCAAATTTCCGTTCACCCGCAAACTGGGAAAAAAGAGCGTGTTTTTGTTGACCTTGCTGCTATCTACCCAACTCCTGAAGAGATTGGCACTGAGCTTAGCTTTGAGGAGATCATGGCTACTAACCGAGGTTGGCTTGACCACTGTTGGGAAGATGAAACATTTGACGAGAACCTCGTTCCTGAACCTGTCATGCCCCTCGAGATCGAGGAGATTAGCAAAGGAGCAGGAGAGAGGCTAATGATCCATCAAGATCCAGTCGACAAACTACCTATTCATCAAGACCCTGTGGGCAAGTTGACCATTCATAAAGATACAGTTGAGAAGTTGGTTGTTCATCAGGATTCTTCCACCAAGTTGGCAGTTCACAAGGACACTGTGCAGTATGACGAGAATGGCAGGGCTATCGAGCAACCTCGAGGGCCACGAGGTGGTAAGAAGAAGAAGATGATCGAGGTCAACGAGACCCAGATCAGTAAGTCAGCATGTGTTCCCCATATTATACGATCATCTAACCATTTAATAGTCAAAGCAAAGCTTGACTCGCCATCCAGACCAAAGCTCAAGAAGAAAAACACCTCTGAGCCTACCATGACACTTCATACCAAGGCTGCCACTGATGATATTTATGACATTTTCAACGCACCCCTGAAACCTGCTGGCCAGGAGGAGGAGGATGATGAGGAGAGCGCAGACGATGACGATTACGAGAGCGATGATAACTATACTACTGATGCAGAGAGCACGGGTACCACGAGGCATATAGAGCCCAGTGAAGCCGGCGACGATGAAAACGATGAGACATCTGATGTCAAAAGTGTTAGTGAATGGTCCGACTTTTCGACACGAAGACACATTCCTCATATTGATGGAGAGGATGATGGGGAAGAAGGCACTGAACGAAATGAGACCCAAGTATCTGATCTGATCGACACAAGCATCCCAGGACCTGATCAGAGCGCATCTGAAGCTTTCGACAGCACTGATCAACAAACGGGAACTGGAGAAGAACACAGCGACGATGCCGAGGAGCTCGAAACTCCTGTGTCTAAAGATTTCCCTCCAGCTCGCACAACATTCGTTCCTATCCCACCTGAAAACTACGAGCCCCCAACTCGGCCATTTAGGGACCCGGCTGAGGTGGCCAACAACCGACTGCCTTTCATGACTCCCATCACCGAGAGGACTGAAGTGTCTCTGGACGTGACCATGGAGCGCCGTGGATACAAGACACCTTCTAAGAAGGATAATTCCCCAACTATTGATGAAGAGGATGAGGAGAGTTCAGATTCAGAACCTCTAAGCAGCCCTCTCCGAGAGATGGCCAACGATCCTATTCCACCCCCCAAGATGTCCGCACCACTGGCTCCCAAATCCGTCGGGCCTCTGGGCAAATCGATCCCTTCTAAGCCTCTTGCTCCCAAAGGTCCCATTATCAAGGATGTTCAGTGCAACCCTGTGGATGAGTCAGTTCGTTCTGAGATCATCTCTAGGATGCTACCCCCGTTGAGCTCATATTCTGGGTTTTATGACCATCGACATGAGAAATACGAACGAGGTGGTGAGATCCGCAAGTTTGCCAAGGCCCTGGCTAAGGCAAACAAGTCAGGCGATAAAACAGGACTTGTCACTGCTCCTGTAGTAATTGAGCTCCCTGGCACTCGTTCAACCTACACAATCAAGAAAGAACTTGGTGCTGGGGCGTTCGCCCCTGTCTATCTTGTTGAGAACTCGGCTCCAGAAGCTGATGAGAACGATGAGAATGCGATTCCTACCATGGGTAAGGGTGCTTTCGCAGTTAGTCATCGCAGTGATGTCGAGGCTTTGAAGATGGAGAACCCACCTACACCATGGGAGTTTCACATGATGCGTCTGGCTCACACTCGCTTGGGTCCTCAGCATCGTGCTTCTGCCTCCTTATCTTATGCGCACGAGATGCACCTCTTTCAAGACGAAGCGTTTCTTTTCTTACCTTACCATCCCCATGGCACTCTCTTGGACATCGTCAACTTCTTCCGAGCTGAACCATCTGCAGTTATGGATGAGCAGCTGGCAATGTTTTTTACTATCGAGCTTCTAAGAACCGTTGAGGCCCTTCACTCCAAGAGTATCCTGCACGGAGATCTCAAAGCCGACAATTGTCTGCTGCGTTTGGACGCACTGTCCGATGACGAGTCCTTGACAGCTCAGTGGAAGGCTGATGGGAGCGGTGGATGGTCGTCGCGCGGAGTTGTACTTATTGATTTTGGCCGCGGTATTGATATGCGCGGCTTTGTCCCCGAAGTTGAGTTCATTGCCGACTGGAAAACCAGCGCTCAAGACTGCGCCGAGATGCGAGAGGGTCGCCCATGGACGTGGCAGATAGATTACCACGGCCTCGCTGGCACAATTCACACGCTTCTCTTTGGAAAGTACATCGAGACTGTACGCTGTGACCAGGGTGGACTCGGCAAGTCTGGTCGACGCTATAGGATCCGGGAGAGCCTTAAACGATACTGGCAGACTGACCTCTGGTCTGACTGTTTCGAGCTTCTACTCAACCCTGGAGCCGCAGCAGCAGGGGGTGAGGATGGTGGCAAGATGCCTGTACTTAAGTCGATGAGGAACGTCAGGGAGAGGATGGAAACGTGGTTAGGAGCCAACTGTGAGAGAGGTGTTGGACTCAAGAGTATCATGGGCAGGCTAGAAGCTACCTTTGCCAAGAACCGCAAGTAGAAGTGACTAATGGGTGGCATATTATCGCTCTTCGTGGCCTGGCGTTGGATATCGATAGATAGGGGGCGTTGGCTGACTGAGTATTGTCTGCATGTTTTGGTCCTTGCTCTTTGCAAGAAAAATAGTTTTGAGTAGTTATACCCCTTTGAAGAGTATCATAGATCTGGATGAGCCTTGTGTTGGTTAGCAGTAACAAATTTTTAGCGTGAATCATACAGCATAGAAAAACATATACAACGATTGGTTACATCTGCGTTCATGAGAACTTGTTCGTCAGTCATCACTAGATGAAGCTTTTCGTGAGCAGTGAGTGACCTCTATAATTTAACAGGATACATAACTATTTCAAGCTTCAGGCTAGATAGCCCTGTGGTATGAATACAGACAATCCTATAATATTACATTGCACCCAACCGTCCGTTCCTTGTTCCTTTCCTCGTCCAAGCTCGCTGCATATACTACAGTAACCAATTGAAGACATCTACTCGCTCTCATCATCAGAATCATCCTTCTTCTTCCGTTTTCCGCCCTTCTTAGTCCCCTTCTTGGCATCTTTGGCCATTTTACGATCAACCTGATCCTGTATCTTGTTCCTTTCTGACTCTCCCTGGGCCTGCAACTCTGTTGCAAGGTCTTTGAACTCTTCAGTCTCGGCATCCATGCCAACAAGCCGCTCCAAGAGCTTGATCTCGGTAGCCCAGACCTTCTTGTCCTCGACAGATTTGCCGTCAGCACCCGGCCGATCAATGGGTGTCTCAAGCACCATGGGCATACCCGCAAAAGGCGCATGGTTCATGACGCAATGAAAGGCGCGGAGACCGAGAAAGCCCGTGCCGATGTTGGCGTGGAGATCTCTGTTGGAGTTGAAGGGGGCTTTGCTGTCGTTCACTAAAAGATGTTAGCCGCTGCAGAAAGGAAGGATTTAGAACGAAACTTGCAGTGGAAGGCCTTGAGATATTTGTGACCGACAATGTCGTTGAAAGAGTCGACAGTCTTCTTGAAAGCCTCTGGTGTTCTTAGGTCGTAGCCAGCCGCAAAGGCATGGCACGTGTCAATGCAAACACCAACTCTAGATTTATCCTCAACCAGGGCAATGATGTCCCTCAAATCCTCCCACGTTGATCCAATGACATTTCCACTGCCGGCCATATTTTCTAGAACTGTAATCACCGTCTTGGTAGCCTTGTGTGACTTGTTAAGTTGCGCGGCAATACGTGCAATGGCTGCTGGCCTGGCATCTCCGCCGGTTGATCCAGGATGGAAGTTGTACAAGCGAATCCCCAACTGCTCGCAACGTTCTAGGTCATCAATAAAGGATATGTATGCTTGGTTCGCCTTGTCCTTGTCAGCCTGCGCCAGATTGACGAGATATGAGCCGTGGGGAAGGGCGTGTTCGCCTGCGCTATAGCTGTGTTCTTTACACATCGAGATGAATTGATTCTTAGCTTCATGATCAAGAGGCGGGTTCGTCCACTTTCTCTGCGACTTAAGGAAAAGTGCAAAAGCGTTTGCGCCGATGTGGACGGCGTTTGTGACGGAATTCTGTACTCCTAAGGAGGAACGGTTAGTCAAGGTACGACCAAGGAAAGAAAGTATGAGGCACACCTCCTGCGGCACTGACGTGAGCGCCTATATTCATAGAAGGTTTAAGTGACGATACGTCCGTTCTACCTGCCAAGGGTCTCGCATTTTCCTCCTTTGCCTTTGTCTTGCGCTTCTTGGTTGTCTTTGCCGTTGGAGCTGGCGAGGCTGTCTCAGGTTCGGGCGAGGCTTTTCGCTTCGTAACTGTCTTCACAGATACAGCCTTTGCGGTTATGGTCTTTGAAACTACACCCTTAGTCTTCTCAATGACCTTACTCGCAGCCGCTACAGCCTTAGTCACCGGGAGCATCTCGTCGTCGTCAGGATGCTCGTTGTAACTAACTGCCTGCTTGTTGCGCAGAGACGTACGAGCCATCGCTGATATAAGTAAATAAAATCTCAGACGAGAAGAATTGGCTTGTCAGTTGCGCCGAAAAGATTTTGGAAGCCTTGATTAGTTGGTTTGGTGGATGAATCGGAGTGGAGGTCGTTGTTAACCGTTGCAATGTGTGACGCGATCGACGCGCTCCGTCCTTCACCTCGAAGCACGCAGTCACGTGTCTTGGTAGTTTGCATTAATCGAACGTGCCCTCAAGAAATGTTGGTATGGTACATACATGCAATCAGTGAATGACGGTGAATTTATAGGATATATACTTCGAAACTAAGAACAGGGCCATGCAGGCCATCCTTGAAACAACTGGAATAAGAAACCTGATGCAATTCTACCAGTACCTCTGGTACAACTGCTGTCGTCGCCATGAACCTGACAACCAATATATTAAGTATCCCAAGCATTCTACAGCACGTAAGAGAAAAATCAGGCAAAGATTTCCATCTCAGCCTTGCGATCGGCAGCGAACTGGTCCTTGTATGCATCCCACAACTTCTCAATTTCCTGAACATAACGTTCATGCAGCTCATCAATGTCCTGTTGGCCTGGTTGAGGTCCATGGGCCTTGTCAACTCGGATCGGCCGTCCAATAACAATGTTAACTGGTCGACGATAAGGCATGAGACCAACATCGTAATTGAGCACACCACGGCCGTGGAGAGCTGGCACGGTAAACTTGAAGACCTTAAGGAATAGCATCTGGATTCGGTGTACAAGGGGGTGTGTCTTGGGGCTCAGCTGGTCATAGAGATCATTTTCGCCAAATCCAATGACAGGAACTAGATCGGCTCCGGTACGAAGTGCCATCTTAACAAACCCTTTTCGGCTCTTGAGGATCAACCGAAGGCTTCCTGGCTGTGCCTCAAGCGATTCGCGGGCACCGCCGACAACAATAGTAACAGCGCGGCCTCGGCCATCATTGTTAGGGCCGCCTTTTGAGAGAAGATTCCATATCGATTCCTTGGAGACTGACTGAAGACCGTGAAGCATGATATAGTCGCGATAGAAGGGGAGACGGAAGTTGGAGTCGAGAGTGAGGAGTGTGTTGGTGATTCCAGGGAACAGTTCGCGAAACCCAAGAGCATTAGTACCAAAGGCGGCGAAGGCTCCATGGGAAATGATACCATGAGGATGGTACCCAAATATGTATTTTCTGTCGGTGGGCAGTTCATGCGTCTTGTGCAGCTCCATGGGGAAGTATCCAGTGAAGAGCTTCCACAGCTTCAGGCTTCGTACCCATTCTGAGCGGTAGGTGAGGTTACCGTTAGTTCCCGCAGTTGAAAGAGCAAGATGGATCAGATAAATTATAATGATAGGCCAAGCGAGTGGATTGGCGCAGATCAACCAAAAGGCTGAGACAAATGTAGCAATAGACATGCAATGAAACAAGACTGCTGCAGTCTGTAGCCGTCGCCTCATGGGCACTCGCAATGGCGCGAAACGAATGCCTCCGGCGCGCCAGCTCCCGGTCTTGATATTTTTAGGTTGAGCGGTGATGGGCAGCTTGGGATAGGACCAATGATCATGTCTGCTGTTGTCATCCACGTCTCTGTCAGCCACAACGTCGGCGTAACTTTTTTCACAATTGTTTGAATCTTGTTCTCTGCCGTCTCTCTCCTCCGCCTCGGCAGAAACAGCTGCATAGCTCTTTCCGGTACCATTGGGGGTCCCGCTCGGGGTCCCATTCAACTTGCCATTAGGCGCACCGTTTGTAGAGAGCATCAAATCATCAAAGTCAGCGTTGCTGGTAGAGATGCTCGAGTCGAAATCACGATCAGGTAACTGTGGCCGCTCTGGATTCCTCTGTTCACAATTATCAATACAGGTGCATTGATGATTTAAAGATGAAGGGCTTAATACATACAGCTTCGTTAATGGTCTCCCCGTTCTGCGATTGGGTCGGCTCGAGCGGCTGCTCGTTTTCCGGATTAGGAATTGTTGTCACTTTTTCAATTGAATTGGTAAGATGTGCCCCTTTGTTATGTTAGTAAGTCCCTAAACAACTTGTAAAACGACGAAGTTAAGATCATGAACACAATGTATCTGCAATCAAGCTATTACATCACCATTTGCCTGCTTTACGGCGCACGTATGAAGGGCCCAAAGCTGGCGCAAATGAAAAACACATGAATTGGCTTACCGTTCATGATGGGAACACCGCTGTCAACCACAGTGTTCGACATGATATGCAGAGCAGCTCGAGTGTTGCTGTGTCGAGATAAAGCAAGATCCTGGGGACGGAGGGATAGCCAGTAGAACTAAGGGTGCTGGGAACTGTATGAGAATCTGCTGGTCACACGCACAGCCACGTCAGAAATTGATATGAGAAGAAGGGAACGTATTGCAATGTCGAAGAAGAGGAAGAGGAAGTAAATTTTTAATCGGCGACGAGGACACGGGCATTAGCCGCCATGATATCTTCTTGCGGGAGAGGGTGGACCTGAGCCGCTTTCGTGTTTGTGTTATGCAAAAAGCTAAGTGCCAGTGATGACGTCGCACCAACTATAGGTAATGATTGACACGTGAAATCAGAAGCTTCGATCTTGATCTGGCCAGGGGGGGAAGTCGACCAAGACTCCACTTGCCGCTCCTTTACACAGTCCCTAACTCATGGTCTCATAAATAATTTGTTCGTTATTACGGAGCACCTTCTACATGCATTCTACCTGTGCTTGAGCTTAAGCCTAGCTTTTATAAATATGGCTAGTGTTTTATAAGCATAGTGGTAACTTAATTACAAGTTATTGAAGGCTTTAGCCATATTTCTCCGTAGGTAGTAAATATTTGGTATCAACTGTGCTGTATCTCAGAGTATCCAATCAGTTATTGTGGACGCTCAATTACCCAGTCAGCGTCCTGCAACTCGTCAGGAATCATCAAATTTCCAGATGAGCCTCGGCAAGCCGCCAACAGCAAGCAACACATCCGCAGCACACCCCACAGGATAACAGAAATTAATTACTTGCCAGGTTAACTCTCATCAATAAACAACGCCTCGTGGTCCTCGAACAGATAAGATTCTCTATATACAAAGCTTCCACTCTGCACAATACAACTCTTTGACCCAGTACTAGCGTATGGATCCTTGCTACCACTGCCACGAGGCACATTGTCTGGACAAAACAACAATATATGTTACATGAAATAATGATGGGATAATCATAACTATACCGTACCCCTTTCTTTTAGCGTGGAGGTCCCTACCTTCCACAGAAACAGAAAAGGAAAAACAAAAAAAGCATATTCCCATGTCCCATGAACGCCTCCCTGAGCACCATGCCAAATACTTCTCAAGGTAAAAAACGAAGGTCGTCTCAGTGTGCTTTGGTATATAGTGACGCAATGCGAAAGCACTCAGAAATGAGTGTAATGCAGCGCTGTTCTATACTTTGGCGACAGCCGCCGCCGCGGCATCGCGTGTTTCCATCTGTTGTTTCAGGTCTGCAACAACATGGTCAAGAGCCGAAACCTTGTCCGTGAGCGCCTTGACTTTTTCCTCTAGCGCCTGAACATACGCCCATACACTCGGATCACTCTGAGCAAACATGTTTCCGCTGTCGTTGGTAGATTGCGCGCCACTCCCGTTCCGGGTATGAGAGAAGCCGGTTGACCCGGGCGCCGCAAACTCGGGATGCGACAAACCGGGAAGCTTGGGCCGGGACTGCGAGTTGTGCGGCGACTGTAAATCCGATGCTCGACGTCCAAACTGCGCCTGCTGCAACTGCTGGGTTATGCTAGGAGAGCGCTGGCGCGCCAAGTTATTGGCGTCATGTCCCTGCACCCCAGGGCTCAATGGTTTTGGACTCTCTGTGATACCAGTCTGAGAATACATGTTCGCATTGGCGGCCGCAACGGATGCAATTCCCGCGTTAGCATTGTGGCCAGTAATGTTGTTGGCGGCAGGCTGAGAAGAGTTAGAGTTTGCCTGGTTTTGGTTGACATTGGGAGGGTAAAGTCCCCCAGTCCCAGGTCGAGCACCAGGTGGTGGATATGTCCGAGCATGCGCGCCGTAGCCATCAACTTGTGCTCCTGCAACATGCTGGGCGGTGATGCTTGGTAAACTTTGACGTCTCAGCTCATCTTCCTCAGCATTGTCGTACGCAAGTCCAGACATGGCCGATTCATCAGCTTCGGCAAGACTGGCCTCAATATCGTTATCGTCAACGAAACTACCCATGCTGGATCGTCGTCCAGCACAGCCACCAGCACCCTTGGAGTGACGAGCAAGCGCATCGCCTCGAGCGAATTTTCGATCACACTTGGGACAAACGTGGGGCTTCTCGCCAGTGTGCAGTTTACCGTGACGTTTGAGGTCGTGCAGACGCCGGAAACGCATCTGGCATTCTGTGCATACGTATGGTTTCTCTTGGCTATGCGTCAACAAATGACTCTTGAGATTGTGATGGCGCGTAAACTCAGTATTGCAGTAGGGACATTTGTGCTTCTTCGACCCAGATGATGTGGGAGATGTCTGGCCTGGCGTAGACATCGGAAAGCTCATGCCTCTAGTTGGGGTTTCTGTCAGGTTGCCCGTGGCCTGAAGAGAGCCAGGGTATGATAGGGAACCGGGCTGGTGCCTCTCTTCCTGCCCAACTACTTGCTGTGATGACTGTTGATGCTGCTGCTGATCAATTTTAGGTGCGTCCACTTCCATTGGAGTCGGACTCTCGGTAACGGGAACGCCAACGAGGCTGTTGGTGCTCTGTGGACTTGGTGCACCATGCTCTTCGACCTGATTTGTCGCGGTTTGCGCCAGCGACACGGGGTTTGGGGCCTTTGGGGATGGATCCATGGCAGCTGTCGGTGCTAGTTGAGGCGCGTCAGCGGGACGGCTCATAGCCTGAACAGCTCCAGACATGAGGGAAGTTAGAACTCGGTGACTAGGATTGTCGCTCGTGGGTGCTGGGGCCCGTATCCCGTCGTCGTGATCGTCAACTTCGCGTCGCCGGCGCTCGTCCTCGAGGGCAGCTGCCGCGGTCAAAGGCGTCGGAGAAATGCTCGACGTGAGTGCCAAACGGGCAGATTTGGCCGGGGATCCAAGACCCAAGAGTCCCTGGGACTGCGCGGCGAGAGAGCGCGGCGATGAAGGTGAAGGGGAACGAGGCCGCTTGAGCAATCTGATGGCAGCGTCGTCTGAAGGGATGATAGCAGGAGGGGTTGCCTCTGCGCGTGTTGCGGGCGGGGGGTCGATCGCGGTAAAGGCGGAAGCGTCCGATGCCATAGAGGCAGATGGAAACAAGAGAATTGGAATAATCAAATGCAAATCTGAGCCAGCATGCGATCAATTTCGAGGTTTCGATGTCGCAACAGCCTTGAGCCAAAGGCACATATCGGGGCGAGATGGATTAATGTGTGGCTGGAGACGTGGCGAGAGCTGATATTTTCCCCCCGGGTCAAGGCAGAGAGGCGAGTGAAGAAGCAAGTACTGGGTGGGCAGGTTTACGCTGTGGGCAGTGGGTGGCTTAGGCGAGGAATGCAGCAAGACAGAATTGAGGCTCGAGAACCGGTAATACAGTAGCGTGCAGAAAGGACGATTTAAAGCAAGTATTCAGGAAATTGACAATGAGCCAGTGTATCTGTGAGAATGGTTGACAGTAATGACGATGTATCACTGAAGGAGAGTTGTGCAAGGAGACGTAGAGAAAGAAAGTGAACAAGGCGGCCGATGAGAGAGATGCGAGGCGAAGATGGGCGATGAGCGATAGTGAGGGCCTCTGAAAGTGGGCAAGTGGGTAAGAGCCTTCCCTGATTGGATAACTGGACAGGCGGGTTGAATGAGTGGGGTACGTAAGAGGGAAAGAGTGTGTGGGCGTGTGTCAGTGGATTGTTGACAGCTGCCGGGCTGGTTCCTTCCAAAAAGGCCTGTCCTGTCTCTCAGGTGGGATCGTGCCAGAAACCTGGTAGGTACCTTGGGTTCGATGTACCCTGTCACCTTCCCTACCTTAACTTAACCCGTCATGAAATGTTCCTTTTATTGTTTTAGAAAGCACGATGCGCCTTCGACCTAGCATTAGCCGCAAGGCTTGCATTAAAACAAGCTGATTAGGTACCTGAAACACAACTATTCACGCAACGATCATTCACAAAGATAACGAGATATATTGGTGACGGTGTCTCGCCTAGGGAAGCCAACAAAACACGCCAGCGACGCGAAGACCAGTGGAAACAGAGGGAAAGGGGAAACGCGCGCCTGGCTTGGGAACGCCCCGGAGCGGAAGATGACCACAGCCCAAAGTGAAAGTCCCGAGAGCGCCAAAACGGACAGAAGTGGGTGATGCGAACACGTTTCTGGTATGAAGCGGCGGACTAGAAACGCGCTGGGGAAAGGCCTAACTGAAAGTGACTGATTTTCGTTTCAAGGTACTTTGACGTCAGGTACCGCTATCCCTGCTGAGGAAACATCCATCATTTGGTCAGCCAGCCAAGACACTCACCACCGTCCAACTGGAGTGGATGATTTGCCTGCATCTTGCAATCGCGATCCCAATGGAGTCATCATCGACAGTGATTTGCTGTTTTATTGGCAACCCGCCTCTTCGACACTCTTCTCTCCTCTTTTGACCCTACACCTCAGCACAACCCTGGCTTTGGAAAACTGTGTGTTGATATCTCAGCCTCTGACGGGGCCGTCTGATGCGCATGCATATATACCCTATCACTACAATCAATAACATGGCCCCGCAAGACGGACGGGAGACGGGAGGACGCTCACCCTCCATGCAGAGCGGGAGATGACGGCAATTACTTCTCCCATCGTTCTTCTTGACACTTTGGATACTAATGGCTTGCTGGTACTTGCCTCGAGAGTATCGGTATCTAGCCTTGAGGCGGCCCACTGATTACCTTCGGGTTCTCCAAGTCGACAAGGCAAACAGGTTCCACAAGCTAGGCGGCATGTCACTGCTCTATCGTAGGTTGAGAGGCGGATCGAGTGAACTAGAAGGCGAAAAAGAACAAGAAACAGGGAACATAGGAACAGTGATAAAGACCTGTTGCCGCCCACTCTGTATGTGCTTACTACAACATTCGATCATCCGCGGCGAATCGAGACGAGGGCAAATAAATCACACTCACTGGCTCAGTTGGTTTGTAGTACCCTCTATGTGTTGCTCCTATTTTTGAGACAAACGCCAAATAAACTCACCGTCTCAATCTATCGAAACGCCCCAGCTGAAGGCTTGTCTTCAACCTCTCTTTTGTTCCCTGAGCCACGGTACCCAGGTAGCATTGGTTCAGGGACCGGGGGTTAACGAAGCTGAACCAATCCTTGCTCAACTTAACTTCCCTCAGGTGAACCAAATGGTGGCGGTGCGATCAAACGCCTCGAGAATGGACCTCACATCCATGAACCATGTTCAAAGTGCAACTGTGGCACCCGTTTGATGCTCGGCGCTGGTGTGTGTGAGAGAGCCCTGCCACTCGCTGGTGCATGGTTTTATAGTGGTGTGGCTGATCCTGGCAACTCTCACATCCAGCCTCTTACTCCGCCA